ATGGAGTGGGACACTTTCCATCCCTAGGGTCGTGAACATAATGACACTGCACCGCGTGATGCGCGCGCGCTGCGCGGAGCTCACCGCTATCACATCTATAGAGTCCGAAGCTGATTTCAGAGGAACATGCACCGTTCGCACCCTGGGTATAAGACCAGATGCTAGAATCGAGAAGCTTCGAAGCAATGCGCACAGAAGCCACCTAGCTAATATGTCTCTACAAAACCCCGCCAAGCTAGCTGCATCACCAGGCACCAGCATCTCTATAGCGACGAGCAAGTGGGAACTTCAAGCCGAGATATCCGTCAGAAAGAACTGCAGCCAAGTGGGACTGTTCATAGTTCATGGCATAGGTATGGATGGCACTTGTGATATCGACCATTGGAAGTAAGTTTCTTCGAGGCCTCTTGCTGACTGTCTAGCAAAGATGCTCAACGTCGCACTACTTTGTCGTGGAACGTACATCAAGAGACGTTCATCATCACCCGCCCTTCACCTCCCGATCCTGAGATAGACCATGACCCGGAGAGTGCGCCGCATACTCTCTTCACTTATGAGACCGAGCAAGGCGAGCTACGGGAGGAGACGCTCCGGATCCATGCATTCTGGGATACTAGTGTGCTGGAAGTCTTCGTCAACGAGAGAACGGTCATCTCGACCCGAATCTACCTCATGCCGGCCGACCAAAAGCGATCCATATTGCAGTTCTTCGCAATGGGGAGAGATGTTCAGACACAGCCTTCGGTGGAGGATAGTCCTGCCCTTCTTTTAGAAGCAAATATATGGGACGGACTGGTTGCGACATGATCACTGCAAGCTAAGGTGTTGAGGCACCGAAGATATTATCTAAATATTAATCAATATTATATATTCTCTATCATACATATGTGTTTGAGTAATGCTTGATCAACATAACAAAATGCAATCGTGTCAACCCATGCTCCGAATCTCTATATCAATGCCAACAACTCATGCAGATCCAAGAAAAAAAAGCCCTCGGGACCCGGCTCGCCCGTTGTTCGAGTGGTATCCATTTGTGGCCCAAAGTAAGCAATTAAGACGCAACCTTATAGAAAAAAGAAAGCAACAAGGTCCCCCGCTCTCCTTCACAACAAGTATCCGAAGAATGCGAATGGGTATCATCAAGTCATAGTGGCCTTACAGCACAATCCGTCTTCTCGTCCGATGCAGACTTTCCTTGAATATAATGCACAACAAAAATGAGGTGAACGGCAGAGCTACAGCGAGGAAGATGGATGAAATTATGTAGTTGAGGAGGTCGGGCATTAGAGGAGTCTGTCATTCATAAGTAGAGGAAAGTCACCGGAAAGTTCGCTGCCAGAATTTCCAGCTGGGCAGCGCTTTGTGTCCGTCACGCTTATAAATACGCCAGTAGTAGACGGGAACACCGGCGATAATAAAAGCGACCACGATCAAGGTCTGCAGCGGTTCTGCAATGACGGCGCGGCTGAGCAGAAACAGACTCACACAGCAGAAGATGATCGGAGTCGATATCCAGGTCTTGTAAGGTCGTTGCAAGTACGGCTCGCGCACCCGGAGCACGATCAAGCCTAACACAGTCAGAAAATAGAATGTGTAGCCGGCGACTCCGTAAAACGTGACGAGCGTCTTGAACTCGCCAACAACGATATAGACCACCGTAAGAGCGCTGTTGAGGGCCATCGCATTGATGGGGGTGAACCCGATCTGCGTGCCGGCGCCGCACAGCCGGGAAAGTGACTTGCTCAACCAAGACCGGTGTTGAAGGCGGTTAGAGGAAGTGCCGCGTGTCCACAAAGTACCAAAGACTTCAGGTAGATAACCTTCTTTTCCGGCCGCGTAGACCAATCGACCACTGGTGAAGGTCGTGGCGTTCAGGGCACCAAAACAACTTGCGGACACAATCAGTGCAAAGATGAGAGCACCCACATGACCGAAGACTTTGTCGCCGAACTGTACCGCAATGGCATTGCTCGCTTCAATGGTCGCTTGGGGCAGGACGAGGATGTAGGCGACGTTGGCAAGGATGTAAGATAGGATGACTAACGGCATGGCTGTGTGAATCACCCGTGGCAGGTCCCGGTTAGGGTTTTTGAATTCCCCGGTAACATAGTTGGTCTAGATGAGTTCGTGTTAGAGATCGCAACGGCATGAGGGGTATGAGAGAAAAGGCATACATTGTCCCAGCCATCGAATGCCCAAAGCCCCGCGTACAGAGCCAGCGCCCATGCGGAAACGTCGATATTTGTACCCTCGAACCAGCCAGTCTTCCATTCCTTGTTGGCACTTCCAGTTGAGGAGAGGCCTGTGATAGCTACCACTATGCCGATAATTGTGACAGCCAGCAATGCAACAAACTTGAAGAACATAAACAAGTCTCCAATGCGTGCGGCCACCCGTGTAGAGATGCAATTCAGCAGAGTCACAACAAAGAGTCCACCAAAGGCAACGGCCTTGTTTATCCATGGGTTGATGGTTTCAACCTCGGCTCCCACTACTGCGCGCACGACATACTCTCCGAAGATGATGGCGATGATGGCAGCGCTGCCGGGCTTCAACACGAGAACAGCACACCAGGTGAACAGAAAACCCGCCAATTCTCCGAATATCTTCGCGAGATACACTTGAGATCCTCCATTCAGCGGGATAGCTCCGCCCAGCTCTGCATAACTGGCTGCTCCGGTCCATGCCAGCAACCCAGCAACCACCCACGCAATGAGCGACGCCCCTGGCGAACCCGCATTGACATTGACCTGGCTAGGAGAGGAGAAGATTCCAGAGCCAATGACCAGGCCAACAACGAGGGACAGACCGTTCAAGTAGGTCAAGGTCTTGTTTCGCTCCAGCGATCCGTCAGCTAGGCCAGCCTCTCCGTCCAAGGCGGACGGGGCTCCCAAAGGGGCATACCCGCCCGTAGTCTGCGATAAGGGAAAGAGCGTCGCCCCGAAATCGAAAGCGGAGGAGACTGAGTATGAGCGCGCGGATCGAGGTCGATTGGTAGAAGATTGTGCGGGAAGCTGAGTACTGGTTAAAGGGTCTTCTTCGTCTAAGGAGAGCTTGCGCGAAGAGAAAACGCCCGAGGGAGAGGAGGAGCAGGAAGATCGAGGACCAGAATCTGGCGATGAGGCTAGCGAGGCAAGCTCTAGAGAATCCCGGGGTGGTGCATGGTAACTGTCCGACCTCGAACCGGGGTTGGAAAAGGCTATCTGGGACATGCCTTTTGCCAGAGGTCAGGGGTGGTTAGTATTTTGGAGTGAAGCGGAGGTGAATGGCGAGCAGTGACAGAGCACGGGCTGTGTCCATGCCAATGTTGAGGTCGTGTGATGAGTGACGTTGTATTCGTAAACTAGACAAGAAATAATACACAACACTTAACACAGAAAAAGTAAAGGAGAAAGGAGAAGAATTAGAGAAGAAGCAAGTGTAATTGAGAGCAAGGGTAAGGTGGAGGAGAGAATAGGACTGAATAGATGAATGAATGAATAAACGAAACCATGAATGAGTCTCTGTAACATGAATTGAGCACAGACGGTCGGGCAGGGTGCGTGGTTAGCTCGATCAGGCTTAGTGCCGAGGGATCCATCTCCAGTCCCTGATTTTAATCAACTTTTAATCCAACTTTTGATAACTTCTTCCCTATGTTCTCGAATCTCGTTCCTCTCTCTTCACCCATGAAGCCCCGGATTTCTAGTCAGGGCTTTTCTCGGTATGATCGGTACAATGTGTCCTCCATCGGTGGAAGGCTGCTGACGAGAAGCCCCCAATTTTATACCTCGTCCTCCGCCTCCGCCTCCGCCTTTGCATCCTCCTCCGCATCCTCCTCCTCCTCCTCCTCTTCTTCTTCTCCTCCGCCGCCACCTAGATCACGTCGATGGGTGCAAGTGGCCCTTGTCACAACGGCTGCCGCCGGTATTGGCGCATATATCCGATCCGAACACGGTTCTCGGTCATCAACCTTGTCTCCCGCTCAATTCACTCTATACTATTTAGTATCGCGGGAACCCGTGTCGTCGTCGGGGAGCATTTTCACTCTACAGCCACCCAAGGTAGATGGGAGCAACCGCGCCGTTTACGAGGAAGCATGGACAACGGGAATATGGAGTGTGATGTTTAAGCAGCCCCAACTGCAGATCGGAAGAGACTATACTCCCCTTCCCTCAACCTCGCCAGATGAAGAGGAGGATGAATGCTTGCGGTTCTTCATCCGGCGAGACCCCCATGGCGAAGTTTCTCGCTATCTCCACAGCCTCGATATGGGCTCACCCATAGAAGTGCGTGGCCCTAGGGTCGAATGCGGGATCCCACCGAGCACGCAACACATTCTCTTCATTGCTGGTGGGACCGGAATTGCCCCGGCGTTGCAAGCCGCACACACTCTTCTTCGTCGCACAGATCAGACTTGTAAACCTAGAATTCATATTCTCTGGGCTAATCGAAACCGAGACGACTGTTTGGGGGGAATCAATGACACAATAGTGACTCCAGCTCCGCGGAGGTCGTGGTTCTTTGGTCGTTCAACTCCACCAGCAGCCAGCCCAGCCCCGGCCGCATCGCCTCTCAACCAGACTCGGTCCCTCATTGTCCGAGAGCTGGAGGCTCTCCGGGCGCAATATCCTGGCCAGATGACCGTGGACTATTTTGTCGACGAAGAAGGTAGTGCCATTGGCAAGCAGGCGATCCTGGATTTCACTAATTCGGTCGGCTTGCCGTCTCCCAAACCCAGGCAAGGCAATCTGATCCTTGTGTCTGGACCAGAAGGCTTCATCAGTTATATGGCAGGACCTAAGCTGTGGGCCGAGGGAATGGAATTACAAGGACCACTTCGAGGAATCATTGAAGAGCTTGATCTGAAGGACTGGGTTGTATGGAAGCTGTGAGGCCGTTCTATGTACGCTATAAATATAAGGATAGAGGACAGTAGGTAAACAAGGATGATTTCAAGCCCCGCGTAGATATGTATAACCTAACGTTATTCGTAGGTACAGTAACGGTGGGTAAATAGTCAGTATGAGTCCAGCTATTGACGGTGCGGAAAGACAAGGATTGAGGGCTGTTCTCTGATTGGGGTCCGACCAGAACAAGGTTGTGGAGTCGGGCTGTTTATTCCATAATTACTCCGTAGACTACGTACTATAATATTGTTGTTCATTGAAATAAGCCCAGACACCATACGTCGTACTACGCCGTAAAGACCTCTTTCTCTTCTTTTCCTCTCTCCCCCCAACCCTACCAAGCCATTGTTCGGGGAACTCCTCAACTCGACCCCTCCAACTCATATATCTCGTAAAGGCGCCGTCAGCGCGCTGATAGCGCGCTATCAATGCGCGCAGGCGCGCCTGGGCGCCAGCCTTGAGGGGAGAAGACCATCGACCAGTTTCCGAGGGAAAGGCCGAGGATAACGCAGGTCTGACCGAAATGTATCCCAGCTTCCTCGAGCACAGCTCTGTGGAGATCGTGTCCTGTGAGGCGATCAACCGATTAGTACCACTGTACAGGACCTCGTACGTGGATAAAGTTCCGGGGGGAGATCGATGCCTTGCTCCCATGAACAGGCGGCCACCGCCATTTGACTCAGCACCCTCTTGATATTTATTATCTTCTCGCGTAGCGGCATAAATAAGGCCCTCCGTCCCTTAGAAGCGTTGCGCTCCATCGAATCAGCCATCATCGCGAAGTTTATTACAGGGGTGCTGACCATAAGCCGTTCAGCTGGCGTGCGGGCTGGATTCTGGCATGCGATGTTTGGAGGAAAGCCAATTCAGACATCAGGAAAGGCCCAAGCAGACGACCAAGTGAATACACACAAGGTTGGCAGCTGCCTCCGAACATGCAGGAGCTTATTGTAAAGATGACCGGTAACTTATGGCCGTCGGGAGTAGCGGAGTGGAGTTAATGGTGTGATCAGTGCTCTTTGAAGGAAGGCAGGAGAATAAAATCAGAAGAACACGAGCGAAGAGAGCAAAAGCAAAAGAAAATTGAAGAATAGAATGTCCAGTCATGTCATATCCTCTCTTCAGCTTTTGGTGAGACGAATTGTCTTGGTGGGTAAGTACTAGTAGAAAGATCGGTGGAGGAAGAGCTGAGGAATTTCTGCATGCATGCGGGAGGTACGTATGTATTACCTAGGTAAGGATATGTAGACAGATACAGACCATCGAGAAAATACGAGTGGAAGGAGTACGAGATACGGAGTACGGAGTACGCCAGGCTCAGTAGATAGACTACTAAATTGGGTAGTAAGTGGTGGTAACTTGGAATTTGGAACAGTACTCCGTACCTTACCGGCCTGATCTTCTTCGTCTTCTCAGCTTCCTCCTCCTCCTCCTCCTCCTCCTCTTCCTCTTTCTGCAGATCTGACCCGCTGTATTTCCCCGACCGACGCGTTTACAATTGCTTCAGCGAGAAGCTGACATCACACCGCTGCATGATTGGGCCACGTACAAGTCAATGCTCCAGATCGAGCTGAGCAGTAGCCCTGCAGTCAAGGAAGCTCTTCCGGACAATTCAATCCAAACTGCGCTGACACTTGGCACATCGGGCCATGACGCTGCACAGATTGGGTTCCGAGCATGCGCAAGGTAGATAACCAATGTTGAGACCATGGATGAGTTCGGCTAAGACAAGAACAGCCATTTAATTCTCTCTTTCTCTGCTCTGCTGCAGAAAAGTATCAATGACCAATGACTCGGTTAATGCGAAACCAGCCCAGTCAGACCTCTTCTGAGCAGGTCTACCATCCATTACGACGAACAGACAATCGCAGAACAATCCACAGGCTTTACCAGAACGGTATAACCCGGCGGACATTTAGTGACTACGCATCCTCTCGCACAGCGCCTGGTAGCATGAATCGTCGCTCATCCGCTCCAGTGAGCACTCGATCGGAATTCGAAAAGGCCTGGAGGAATGACCTCCCCGATACGCAGCCTTCGCAGCCACTAGAGGCTCTCGCGACGACGACAGATATTCATCTTTCTCGCCGTGATCGTAGGAACAGCAGTATTCCGTACGACAGACAATCTAGCGAAGCTGCGTCGGGCTTACACACGTTAGAAACAAATTGCCTGGTGCTTCCACTCCGCCTGTATCCTACGACAACTGGCCCCTCTGAAGGCCACAAGCGGAGCGTATCTCATACTCCGCAACCCGTTCATTCGAGTCCAACCCAGACACGCCGGTGGCAATCGGACGCGACTGGCTCGCCGCGGGTGTCTCGTACATCGGGCTCACGACGTGAGAGAATTCGGTCCATCATTCGACAGTTCAGACGACCTAGCTGGCCCGCAACAACCCCATCTTGCCCCGCTCGTAGTCGCACGGAGCGACGGGTCTATGCGAGGAACATAGGGACGAGTAACGACTTGACCTCAGCCGATAATTCAACTGCACCGTTATTGGTTGAATTGTCTCAGACCGGATCTCGAGCTGACATTGCGCAACTTCTCGAGAATGGTCATGATATTGAAGCTCGTCACATGTCCACTCGCCGAACGGCATTACTTGTCGCATCTCAGAACGCAAACGAAGAAGTCGTAGAGCTGTTGCTTCAAAGGAACGCGCGAGTGGATGCCACCGATAAATCCGGATCGACGGCTTTGCATCTAGCAGCTTCCCGCGGCCACTGTAACGTTTTGGAGCTGCTTCTACCCGAATTTCTAGATATCGACGTGCGGAACTCTAATGGCCAAACAGCCCTCTGGCTGGCAGCGTATTATGGCCACGTTGATGCGGCGCGCCTGCTGATCGCATGCCATGCTAAGCTCAATGCGCGAGCAGACAGCCAGACTACTGCGCTGCATGCTGCCGCAAAACAAGGTGATGCAGCGATCATTCACCTTCTGGTTTCAGCAGGTGCAGACGTGGAAGCGAAGGACGGGATGATGATGACGGCACTGCATTATGCTTGCGAGGCTGGTCATCTCAGGGCTATTGAATTACTCCTTGATAGCAAAGCGAATATCGATGCGGCTGGAAACGATCGCAGAACACCTCTCATCTGCGCAGCCGCTACGGGCCAACTGTTTGCAGTCCAATTGCTGTTGAAGCGGAAGGCCTCGGTTCGGTGCCTTGATGATGCTTCAATGACGGCCTTGCACTGGGCCGCTTTTAACGGGCATACCGAGGTTGTGAATGCATTGAGCCTAAAGAAGACTGTGTTGGCTAAAACAAACATCGCTGGTCGAACGGTTCTCCATCTAGCAGCGATGAACGGACAATTCGCAGTTGTTGAGCATCTCATTCGCAAAAACTTGCCTCTAGAAGCTCGCTGCCACACCGGCTTCACGCCACTTCACTACGCATGTATAGCAAACAGCTTGGAAGTCGCCAGATTGCTGCTCATATCGGGCGCCGATATAGAAGCTTGCGTTAGCCCCGACCTACGGAGGTCTGTCCACATAGCGGCTGCTGATGGATCCATGGGTCTACTCAATTTGCTTTGTGACAAGGGGGCTTCTCTGAAAGCTCGCGACTCTGTGGGAGATCGCGCGCTCTGCGTGGCATGTCGGTACGGTCATGCTGCTGCCGTGCAGAACTTCCTAGACCGAGGGTCACCCATCTACCTACCATATGAAGAGATGTCCGAGGAGGATTCCCCATTGTGTTTAGCAGCGATGGGAGGGCATCTTCCTGTGGTCACTCTATTGCTTCAACGGGGTGCATTGGCCGCCAAGCGCGATGAAAGGGGCTGGCCGCCCTACCGACATGCCGCTTACTACGGACACCCTGACGTGTTGCGGTTACTCCTCTCCTGCGATCTCACATCAGCAAAGGAGGATGCTGATTTAGGACTTACGGTGGACCGCATTGGCTTTGCCCCTTCGGCAAGCATCTCCGACGAGCGAAAGCTGGAGGTGCAGAACCTGTTGTATCGGATACACCAGTCAACTCCGTCGAGATTTGACGTCGTACCTTCTTGGACTTTTTCTTTTCCAGCGGAAAAACACGATCAAGCTTTGCATCGACCAGCGCCGGCCTTCTGGTCCGATTCTCCAATGGAGACCCATACCGCCCCAAAAACAACCATAATCCCCCAGGAACTACCCGGGACTTTAGAACAAGGGCTACCCACAAGCCGATCCCACACCCCGGAGCATATGCGTCGAGAAGCCAGCCCTAACCATGGACCCTTGAGACTCAGTGGCATGCCAGGGGCCTTCCTCGTAGAAGAACAGGCGTTTGTTCCCGCGAACGAACATCCAATGCTTAGGTCTAGCGCGCGACCCCACCTTGACTCATCTAGGAAACCCGGAGGGATCAGTCTTCCCTTGGAGACAACATTCGCTCGAACGAAAGGACCGACTTTCTTGCCGGAATCGCCAAGCTCAGTCATCGACCCGCGTTGTGCCAGATACTCCTTGTCATCCATCTGGATGTCAAGCCCAGTGTATCAGAGGGAATCCGAGGAGGACGAACACTGGGACTCAGAATCGTCTCTCTCATCAGTATACACGGCGTTGGAGGGTGAAGCATTTGAGCTTGCCGTGTGAGAGGTCTCTCTGCCTCTCCTTCTTGTCTCTCTTTTGCAATTCATCTTGCTCAAGGATGAGGAACCATGTGTTTGAACGAGACCACAATGCAGAAAGGCCTGTGATCAGGCTCAGGCTTTGTGTTAGTTCTGTTGTGCCATTTATTTATTTATTTAAGACATCCACCTCATGCAAGTCTCGCTTCTACTGGGTCCCTGGTATACAAATATTAGCCACGGCCTATTTACACATCGAATTGGGTCCCCGACCCAGCGCTTTGCAGCACAATCCTGCCTACACCGCATCAATAACATCATCGTGACTATGGCTTGGAGCTTGTCTTAAATGTTCCCAAACAAAGCCACTCATGCAGCGACAGAGCGAAGAACAAAACGGAGATCGTTCCCGGGGAAATGGTCCGTGGCAAACGAACGCCTGGTAAGGCCAATGGCCTTGGAGGTGGAGAGACAATTAAGTATTATTAGGGAACACCGTGCATACCTAACTTGTTGTTCCAATGATCTGGCTCCTAAGCCCTACTTGTCCACGGTCAGTTGGGCGTGCATAGCTCTCTTTGTATTTTAGAGATCTCAAAGTCAAATGAACGAAGTCTCTATAAAAGCATGGATGGGATCGAGCGACCATGATGCCTATCTTCCTCTCTCATCATACGTCTATCAAATACATCCCGTGTTGTCGCTGGCTTGGATCCGGTCCAAGCTGATTTCATCACTTTCCTGTTCCAGCCTATCTTCGAGACGTTTCCTAGGGCCAGGTCGGTCGGTGTCCAACATACTTTTCCCCCTTACCAACTTGCGAATTGTGCCTCCCATTCGCACATCAAGACACGGTCCTCATCGCGGCTCATCCCCCTCAACTGACCTTTCATGTGTACTGTCACATTGTCAGCATTCCCGCCCATCCATCTCAACTGTACCTCCCATCGCTGTTATACCTCAGAAAATGGGACCATCCAGAGAGCCTTCTTTGACCATGGAGTCCATGGGTCGAGGCGGACATAACGCCCCCACGTCATCAACCTCCTCCTCGACCTCGACCGCAGCCGAACCGATGGGTATGCAAGGCCGGGGCGGGTATAACGATGTGAACGATAAAGCAGGGACCAACCAGTAGAATGCTCGCGAGGTTCCCGGCTGCGGAACAGCATCACCGAATGGAAGGGAGAAGTCTAGGCTGCGGTTGGCAGTGCCAGAAGATAGAAAAAAAAAGAATTTCTCAGGGCTAGCAGCAGTCGTGTTTATTTCCCAACGCAGAATCTGTTACCGCACGCCACCCCCTCCCCGGTGATTAGCCATGTAATTTGTTTGGAAGCGCAGAAATGTGTTGTTTGTTTGTTGAACATATTAGAACGAAGAAAAAGGGATAGACCTGAAAAGAAAGAATGGTGGGAGACAACGTACTTTTCGAACACCACCCCCAGGACATCCTCCACGTCGCCACTCTCATCTTTACCCGTGATCTTGGCCAGGGCATCGGCCGCGGAACGGAGGTGCTCGGCCGCGGTGACGATGTCGACTTCTTCCTCGGACTCGTGTGTAAGATGGTGATGGTTTGATGGTTGAGTCTGGTTCATGAACGCGTCTAGATCCTCCAGGCAGCGTTGTAGGTTCGAGCTCTGTCGGTGGGTGACGCCCAGAGAATCCTCCCAGTAGGACCGGTCGTACTGGCCGTTGGCATCCTCCTCGATCCCCGTCGGGGAAGCCAGTTCCTCAAACGTAGCGATCAACCCCTGTAGAAAGCGCTGGATATGGCCCGGATCGTGCTCCGCCACCGGGCCAGAGACGGAGCCCGTCTCCCGGCGGGCATCCATGCAGGAGATCCCGAACACGCGCCGGTCGGGCACAGCAGGGAACAGAGTACGGACGGTGGCAAGCAGCTGATCCGGGAGGCGATCCAGGCCGGGCAACCGGTCACACTTGTTGATCGCAACGACGACGCAGCGGCCGGCGCGCGCGCACTCATTAGCCGCATCAACGACTTCTGGTTCAACTGCCAACCGCGAAGAAGCACTCGCACTCCCCTCCTCCTCCTCCTCCTCCTCCTCCTCCTCCTCCTTCTCCTCCTTCTCCAACGAGACGACCACAACGACAACATCCGACTCCAACGCCCTAGCCTTAGCCCTCCGGATGCCCTCTTTCTCAACCGCCCCGATCACCACATTCCGAGCCGCCGCGGAGCTCCTCCCATCATCATCGTCCTCCAAAACATCCTCCGACCGGATCCCCGCCATATCACCCAGCCGCACGAACCAACCCCCAACATCCACCCCAACATCGACGATATCCCTCGTAGTCCCTTCCTCGGTACTGACGATGGCGGCCTCGCGGCCCACCACCCGGTTCAGCAACGAGCTCTTGCCCGCATTGGGGGCCCCCAGCAACGCCACGCGGATCCCGCTCCGCAGCAACTCGCCCTTGGCGGCATTGCCGATATGCAGCTGGATCTGCGCCTGGAGGGCGCGCACCTGCCGGCCCACGGACCCAACCAGCTCGCGCGGCGATTCGTCGAAATGCTGGTCCTCGGCGAAGTCGATCAGCGCCTCCAGCTCGCCGCGCGCGTACAGCAGCTGATGCCGCCACTGCTCGTAGCGTTGCGACAGCGCGCCGCCTTGCTCACCACTGCCGCTGCTGCTCGCCGCACGCACGGCGATCCGTCGCTGCTGCTCCGTCTCCGCGTGCAGGATATCCCCCAGCGCTTCGATCTGGGGGAGGTCCAGCCGGTTGTTGAGGAAGGCCCGGCGCGTGAATTCGCCTGCCTCGGCGTAGCGGATCGTTCCTCCCCCTCCTCCTCTTCTGGAGGGGGGTCCCAGGGGGACTTGGGGATCCTTCGGGTTTGTTGTTGTGGTTGTTGTAGACATTGAGGACGGTGACGAGGATGGCCGGTTGATGTTCGCGATCGCGGTCAATACGGATTTAACGATCGCCGAACCCCCGTGCAAGTGAAGTTCGAGCACGTCTTCCCCTGTCACGGTTCGGGGGCCGGGGAAGTATAGCACCAACGCTGCGGCGTCGAGGATGGTGTTCGAGGATGGAGGGTGGAGAGGGTCGTAGAGCGTGCGGACGGCGGCGTGACGGGCACGGGGAAGGGGCGCAAAGGGGGAGAGAGCATTGTAAATCTACAAGATGTAAGGTTAGTTAGTGGTTGACAGGACAGGTCTCGATGAGCGCTGAAACTGAAAGCGAAATGAATGCGGGTCAAGATGTATACCTGCACGCATGCTGGACCAGATACTCGCACGACGGCGATAGCGGCTCGCCCGGGAGCGGTGGAGAGGGCATAAATTGTGGAGTCGGCATCAAAGAGTGAGAAATCCGGGCGAGAGGCTGAGAAGCAGCGGCGTAGTGATGGATTTAATAGTAGTAGTGGTGCCGGAGAGCGTCTCGACAAAACAGCTCGATTCGGGGGCGGCAACGATGGGCGGGCGGCAGCAGCCCACCGCAGGGTTCGAAGATTGAAGCCTCGCATGCGCAAAAGGGTATCAGTCGCTGAGAACCAATAATTGCCTCATAAAGCTGGACAGTTGGGGTAAAGGATGGCTCGAATGTTGGCGCAAAATGCCGCGGATGTAGGGATCACGTGCAGTCGGTCCCACCCTCGTCGGTATCATTACACTCAGACACTCACTCATACAAGCATGATAAGTACAGTACTCTGTATTCGCATTAGATGTTACGGGTCCCATATTCTGGGAACCACTCTGCGTACGCACTAAGCTTGGTAAACCAGTAGATGTAGTAGGAAAAGGTCATATCACAGGGACCCTGCGCCCCTTCGTCACGCCTGCGCACCGAAAGACACACGGCCATACGCCTCACAATCCTCCTCCGCCAGAGATATGCAACTGTCGCCGGAACGACATCCAGATATAATAAACAAGAAGAAACCAATGAAAAGCCGAGTATGTACACAGACAGAAAATGAAGACCGAAGTTGATAAAAAAAAAAAAGAAAGGGGGAAATGTCAGAGGCTATGAATCGCTGGGAGATCAAGGAGATGGAAAGCATGATGTATGCAGGGTCAAGGAGAAACGAAAATAGGAAAGTGAAAATGTACTCGGGAAACGAATGCAACAGCTTGGTGCAAGGAGGAACGAATCAAAGCAGTAGCCACGAAGGAAAGGATATCAAACCTCCAATCCCACTTGGCATCGCCGCTTGACAGCCCTCGAAGAAGATCAGAAGAAATGAAGACAGACGTGTCTGAAACACGCAGCCAGGGGAACATCATACACATAGTGACATCTTCCGAGACGGCATGGGTTGGTCTATCAAACATTAGATTAGGAAAGAAGGAATACGATTAGTTCATACAACAAATGCACGGAAGGGCGAAACGTGCGTTGCGAAGTTGGAAATGGGATGGGGGGAAAGAGGGACATGGAGTGGAGAAATATGAGGCAGTGGTCGATTTACTCCACGGATTTTGTTTAGGGAGAACCTTCACTGGGCTTGTCATCGCCAGGTAACTGTAGCTTTTGGTCGGCGGTTGGCGATACCACAATAGATGGTGTCAAGGGTGTTCGAGGAGTTGTGTCATCTCCGTCTCGAGGACTGGGAAAACTCACATCATCCGGTTCAATCGGATCTGTCTGGGGAGGGGAAAGTGGTTCGGACGCAGAGGCTACCACCGAGCCATCGGCGCTGTCTTTGCTGGTACCAGAGGCACCGTTGCGTCTCCGCAGCCTGCGTTTACGCCGCTCTTCCTCGGCTGTCTCACGTCTTCTTCTTTGACGCTCACCGTCAACATTGTCCCGTAGACCCTGCAGCATGCTTGCAGCCCGGTCCGCAACGTCTTCGCTTTCTGACACATGCTGAGCATCTTGGCTCGATGTCTCAGGAGCTTCGGACTCCAAAACCGGAGGACTTAGAAGACCCGTGTTGGCCGAGTTGGCATCGACTGCACCCGCGTTGCTCGTTTCATTGCTGCCAGTCTCTTCAATCTGTCCGGCTTCTGCGCCTTCAGACCCAGCGGGATCTGGCATTTTCTGTCCCGAAGCCACGCGGACCTGATGTCTCTCCTTCAAACGGGCGCGACGCCGACGATCGCGCTGATCCCTGGCCTGAGGAGCCGCCGCACGCAGCTTCTCCAAAAGTGAATCCATAGCACCGCTCGTGGCGGGGGACTGTGGCCCTTCTGTAGCTGTACCGGCGCCATTTGCCAGACCTGCATTAACCCGCTTGCGAGACAGAGATGCTTCGATGCGTTTCCGATTCTCTTCCAGACTGATGTTCTTCTCCTTAGATTTCTGGACATTGATATCACGGTTAGAAAAAAAAGCCTTCGACGCAAAGCAATTGCATGTACTTACCCTCCACTCCAGCAAGAATGTAGCCAACTTGGCGAAGAAATCCCGCCTGGCGCCTTCATCCGTGTTATCCTCGCCGTAGAACACCATGATATCATCATAGCTCTTGACCATCTCGTCCAGGTAAAGTTGCATCTGCTCGGCCTTGCGACGAGCATCCTTCATGCTTCTTTGAACGATTTGACTGACCCGATCCTGAGGATGGAATTTCTTCGGATCACTGAGATTGCCAGCGTCCAAGCTGGCTTGGACGTTCTTAATGTTGTCTATGTACTTCTTAGCATCCGTGCGCAGTTGGTCGACGTTGAGCTTCTGAATGGCGACAACGCCGTTGATCTCATCCACAAAGCCCTCCCACTCGGGATACTGGTTTCGAACGATTCGCTCCACTAGATCGGCGAATGTAGTCTCGTTCTTATCATCCTTCACCATACCGAGGCGTGCGAGTGAGCTCAGTTTGAAACCTTGAGCTTGCTTATTGGCATCGTTCATGAAATTACCAATGTCCAAGATCAAGCCAAGAACATTCATTAGGGCCACGGAGTCTCTCAGAGACTCGCTGACCTGCACGACTTGCTGCAGTTTGGCGGAGATATGCTCATAGTCTGGCTCATACGAGCGTGTCAACGCAAGAGCACGCATTCTTGCCTTCCAATAATGGTGCAGCTCGAACGCGGTATAAAGGTAGATCTGGTCTTCGCGCGTGAGCTCAGTTGGATCCTGCTCCCGCTCGGCGCTGGCAGCATCTGGACCGGTCCAGTCTCTACTGTATGGCGCCATAGACTTTGAGATATTCTCGGGTATGGTGCACATTTCATCCCTCTGTAAGAAATCCATGACGACCAGGTTGTCGAGAATCTCCGTGTCGCAATGGATAATCATCCGTACAACATCGTCCGCAGGGAACTGAGAGAATTTGGCCATAGCAATCTGGAAAGTCTTGGATAGCTCGTTGGAGATGAGTTGTTTCTTATCCGTACGCTGTTTGCCTCCCGCGCCCTTGCCGAAGATCTTGGTCTCTTTTGCCATGAACAGTCTCTCGACTTCATCCAAGACTCCCTTCTTCGCCAGCTCCACATACTTCTCCTCCTTTGCTTGAGCTGTAGGAGCATGAGATGCCCACACGGTCACCTGCGGAGTATCGACCTTATCCCAATGAAGTGCCTTGAGTTTCTTCTTAGGCCGGATAGATGGCATGAGAGCTGTCTGGTGATGAGGAAGAGCTTGGGAAGCCATGTAGTTTGCGCGCCAACCTCCGAATCCACCAGCACCAGGCGGTGGAGGGGGTGGAGGGGCACCGAAAGAAGCACCGGGAGGAGGAGGGGGTGGTGGAGGCCCAGGTCTTCCACCGGGCGGCGGGGGAGGGGGGGGCGGAGGGGGCGGGAACCCTGATTTTCCTGGTGGAGGAGGAGGGGGCGGAGGGGGCGGAGGTGGGATCCCAACAGCTCCTGGAGGCGGAGGCGGAGGCGGAGGAGGGGGAGGAGCGAACCCCAGCCCTCCTGGCGCAGGAGGAGGTGGTGGTGGAGGAGGAGCGAACCCCAGCCCTCCTGGCGCAGGAGGAGGCGGAGGCGAGGGTGGGGGTGGAGGAGCAGGAGCAGGAGCACCTTTATTCTCGACCTTTTCAGTTGCACCCTCGACCCTGGCTCCTTCTTGTTGTGAACTGGCAGGGCGATCTTCTGTTCCAGGTTCAGCAAGTTTGTTGTCCACGGAGCCATTTGTGACAGCATCGTCAGCCTCCTCAGCGTCAATCTTAGGAACCTTCGAGGCGATTTCTCCCAGGAGACCGTTGGCTTGCTTAGGATTGACTTTGGGTCGATGAAGATCAACAAGGCGTGCTTTTTCGTATACGACCTCACCGGACTCGTCGACTGGCGTCTGAATCTCGGAACTGTCGTCTTGGTCCATGCCCGGTAGATGGCTTCTCTTCCGGTGAACCGATCCGAAGGCGTTGACGTCCAGGCCTTGACCTGTCCGTTGTCCAAACTCATTGTCGGCATCGGCTTCGCCATCCATCTGCTCTCGAAGCTCACGCAGTCTATCTGAGGTGACATGTTGACCCCATACCTTGCCCTCCAGCTTGAACTGTGTCTTAGTCCGCTCGAGCTGCATCTCCAATCGCTCCAAGAGCTTCTCTCGGTCGAGGATGCCTCTCATCTGTGAAGGATCCGCTTCGGCCATGTTGCTCTTCTTGGCAGTAGATGCAGCTATATCCTGGGCGTCTCGGAGCATCAGGTAGAGTTCTCGAGTTTCCAGCTCATTCCGCTGTAACTCTTGAGCCCGTAGCCTCTGAACATCCGCAAGCTCCGCCTGCATCACTTCCTCACGTCTCCGTTGCAGCTCAATGATCCCTGTCTGCTCATCAATCTGTTTCTGCAGCTTCTTAACCAAGCCATCTGCGCCAAGCTCTACCTGGGCCTTCATCTCATCGCGCTCCGCAAGAGCAGCCTCCGCGATCTGACGAGCTTCCAAAGATTCATCGTAAGCTCGTCTTGCCTCGGAGTCTGTATGCAGGCGGTCCAAAAGACTTTGCACGGTGAAGGTCAACCCTTGTCGGAGGTCAAGATCAGGAAGCCTACGGTCCATAGCGACATAGCTGAGCATAGCATCCACCAGCTGGTACATACGAAGACCATCCTCGCCAGAATTCTCCCGGATCAGGAGCATGTGCTGCATGGCCGATAGAAAGTAATCATGGGCCCGAGTGCCCTGTATCCTGGCGGTGATGGCATCTGTGATTTGCAAAGGATCACTCATATCCTTGACCTCGCCCTCGATGCTGTCCTTCATACTGCTGCTCTCCCGTTGCAGCAGGTCTTCGTAGTCAATGGCTTCATTCTCCCTGAACCGTTCAATTTGCTTATCGATGACCTCGTACTGAAAGCCTTCCATCTTGGTCATGAGGCGCTTGATGCCGCAAGAAATGAACTGAGCCCTAATATGACAGCGGAGCTGCAAGTCGCTCTGGGGCGCATCCACCAACATATTGATGAGCAGCATGGTTGAAACAGCATATTCCATGAGATGGTTCTCCATGCCTATGCCGCCGCTGCGATATTCTTCACTTGCGCCAACCAGGCTGCCCATTTTCCCTCGGCCATCAATGGTCACCTCCACAATACGCATCCAGGCGTCGAAACGGCCGGTTTCCCCATGATGATTCTTAACATGGTCCATAGCCTGGAGGACCTTCTGGTGCCCATGGCCCTCGGCCCAGTGACAGAGAAAGGTTAAGACTTCACTGACCAGCTTTCGCGTATTCAATCGAGGAGATAGCAGTGAGCTAACAAGAGCCACAATGACCTGTTGATGTGCGAGAGCATCGTCTGCTCCATATTTGTTGTTCATCAAGGCCTTCAAACATTTGACGATGTCATATTCACGATCCAGATCCTTATCCCCTGTCGGGGGAGCTGGGACGACACCTGTAGCCTTCCTTCGATTGATCTTGGCAAGCACGTTTGTCAAAGCGATTTGACCCTGCGCCTCAACAAAAGCCTTGACCCAACTGATTGGCTGCGTTCGTAGACTGACACTTAGACTGGCCAGCTGTTTCGAGGTGATTGAATCGTCCATAACCTTCTTCACATACCACTCGGGGCTTCCCTCCTCATCAGCGCGTTCCAGAATACCCGAGGGTCCATCATGGCCGTGAGTCTGCCGAGCATTCTGCCGCCGCTTCTGTTCCCCCTGTATCTCCGTCAACCGGTCCTGGTGCACCAAGGTCCACTTTTTCGAAGCCGGATAAGCGAGCATCTGTCGTTTGGCCTGCTCCGGGAGGTTCTGCCATCCTCGTTTCTGCATCAGCTCGATAAACAGTTGATCCACCACTCGATCGTCCCTCGGTCGGGCGAGATATTGCTCCTGGTTAACCGGAATCTTGGGTGGTTGAGCGGGCTGGGTCGATTGCCATGCTGCCTGTGCATTCGACAGGCGGCCGGAACTGCCATTTGATGCGTAGGTTGTGCGATCGGCGGAATGCGAAGGTGTCAGCGTGCGCGAAGAGCTCTCTGATGCATAATAGCTTGAACCCCGAGTATTAGATGACATCGACGAATGAACACTAAGCTGGTCGAAGGACAAGCGCGATTGCGCCGATGAATCTAATGTAGAGGAGGAGCTGTGGCTAAAGCCAGTATTGGCTGCAGAGCTGCCCGGGCGTCCCCACTGTTGATATCGAGCACCCTTATCCCCCGATGTACTTCCCGTCATGGTCACATTCAAGCCATGCGGAGGTGGCCGGGGGCCAGTTGGGTGCGACGAAGCGCTGTTGATGGTGGTGGTGGTGGTGGTGGTGTTATTGTTGGGGACGCTGGCCGGGTTCCATGCCGGGTACTGGTGATAGTCGCTGTTTCCTTTGGCGAGATGGTTCGGCGACGGTTCTTTACGTGAGGACGAACTAGGTCTTGAGAGGTGATCAACGGGAACAGGCGATCGGGTATCGGCGGGCAAGCTCTCGTAGGGAATCGAAGTCAGGACACCTGCGGTCATGGACACGCCACTGGGATCGAACTCGTGGGGATAGTCCACGGACTGGACGGAGGACCGCTTGGAATGGCGGGATGAGCGAGAGTCGGGGGCGCTTCCAGGAGGCGCCAGACTATCGTGCGAGCCATGCGGGTCGTATCGTTCGTCTACCGACTTCTCTTTGTGCAACTTCCTCCCAAAGAACGACTTCCCAGCGGAGGTCTGTCTCGATTTTTCAGGCGCAGACGTGCTGGTTGGCATCTTGACGAACGTCGCTTGGGAGATGCAAAGCGCAGCATGAGCGAAATCCGCTGAGGAAAGAGTAGGCTGGAAAGAGCGCTAATGATAATCTTTCCTTCCGTCCTAACGACTCGTCCGATTTCCGGGGGTTGTCGTTAATTGAGGATTCGAATGAGAGGAAGAAATTAAGAAACAGAAAGAGAGAGGGGAAAATAAAAGAAGATCCAAGGCGCCAGCGTAGGACCTTGCACTCCTGAATTGACTAGAAGGAAATTATTATTACCCGCAGCGGAGCGGGCGTAAGAGTAAAAGAGGGAGGGAGGAGGGAGGGAGGAGGAGGGAGGGAGGGGGAGAGAAGAGAGAGAGAGAGAGGTGGGAATTCCGCCTTCTGAACACCGCGGAGATTCCCCAAATGTATGTATGAATCGCAAACGAAGGGAAAAAGGCGATCTATTCTGAGTCAAGAGATTCAGATTTCCACCTAGTAGGGCTATCCTGTTTCAGCAGTGGAAAATAGAAACCCTTTTAGGATGTGGTTTAGTGGCTGGAGTCTTTTTGCATGTCAGGACTGTGAAGCACGGGGCATCAGGGGGGCGGCATGATTGAAGAGCGGCTCTAGAACACCACCAGTGGCTCTCCCCAGAGTAACAGTACTGCCACGTGATATGATATGATTCTATCTTTTGTCCTGCCACTGCACTTCACTGCACGTACACCCTTGACCGCCTACCATTCTCAGCCCTGAGTACTAAGTTACTTGAAGGTGGGACTGCCATGGCGGTATCACGTGCACGGAGGTTATCGGCGGCCTCATCGGAGCAGGTGAGTGGAAAGAATAAAATAATAGCCAGACCAGACCATGTGCTGTTCCCTTGTGCTGTTAAATTTCCCGGATGGTTGAACTTCTGTATCTGTGGAGATCTCTGGTTACTATGGCAGTTTAATTTTCTGTCTTTTGGGGATTGGATCACACAGCCTTGCGTCGTGCATTGTTCACCCGCTTGCGATTGCTGCTGCCTTCTCCTATTCCTCCTCCTCCTCTTCCTCTTCCGCTTCCGCTTCCTCTTTCTGCTGGGGAGTAGACGATACACGACAAGCGCCGATTTCCTCGGGCCCGGACGGACACTTGCAAGCCAAGATGGGTTCCGCATCGAATTTTGCAAAGGTGAACCTCTTCCTCCATCAGTCCTCATATCTGACTCGTCACGGCCCTAACAGACGGCTTCCTTGCGCAGACGATGATCATCCCCGCGGTGATCTCGCTCACCCTTTATCTCCTTTTCTCCTTCGTGATCATCCCCTTCTTTCAACGTTATCATCAACGATACTCGCAGTATCTGCCGCTCCACACGATCTCCGCCCACACGTTGACCCTTCGGGACCGCATCGCCGATGCCATCATGCGCCGGTTCTTGCCCTCATCGTGGCAGCGGCAGCATCTAGCCGACCAGGACGACAACATCAGTATATACGATGAAGAGGGCGAGATTATGGTGGGGATGGACATGGATGTAGAGCGAAGAGGAGCCCTCGAACGGCAACGCAACTCAGTCGTCGATTCTGGGAGACGACTCAGTCGGGAACTCGAGGCCGGGTTCATGGATGACAGTGAGGACGAGGAAGAGGACCATCCGCAGTCTCGACGCTAGTTTTGGCAATAATCCGCTTTCCATGCCTTAATACCTATAGAGATCTTTACGGAATGCTGTCACTAACTCACTCCTACATGTCACTGAGGATGTCATCACGTCTTTGCGCAGCCAGCTGGGCCACAATATCTACAGTGCTCGAAGTGGAAACCACCCGTATAAGTTATGTTATGTAGCTAAGTTAATTTTAACTTAGAGTCTAGTAGGCTGAAGCGGCCATTGACTCGCACAGAACAGGTGCTGCATGAAAACCGCAACTCCGGATGAATGGGTCCATTGCGGCGGCACGGGGGAGTTATCTTATTGCGGAAGGAATCCAGATATAGAGAACTGTCAAGGCGTCGCCAGAAAAGTCTATGTCAGTGCTCAACATTCCAAGCTTACGAAGGTGTGGGGCAGCTTCGGAAACAGCCCGATGCCATGCGCAAAGAAATTTGAACTGAAGATATTTGTATTTTGAAGGTATCATAAATAGCTAAATCGTCAAGGAGACGTTCAAACCAGGAACATATGCCGAACTATTCGAGTCATGTGGTTCATATTAATGTCCTCCGGGGTCTAAGCCTTGTTGCGCTGACCGTAGGCGCGAGTGACATAGTCACCATTGTGGACGATGAGGTCCTCGTTTCTGTAGTCGTGGCGACCGGAGAAGTAGCTCTCGAGAATAGCCTTGGTGCCGTTGGCATAACGGATCTGGGCGTCGATGGAGGTACCGGACATGTGGGGAACCATGGCGTTGCCGCCGCCCCAGGGGCCCTGGACGTAGCGCAGAGGGTGATCCTTGGGGGCGGGCTGAGGGAACCAGACATCACCTCCGTAGCCTCTCAAGTGACCAGACTTGACGGCCTCGGCGACGTCCTCCTTGACAACGATGGCACCACGAGCGGTGTTGATGAGCCAAGAGCCTGGAGAGTTGTATTAGTGTCTGAGATTCTATGCCGATTCGAAAAGTGGCATCTTACCCTTCTTCATCTTGGAGATGAGGTCCTTGTTGAACAGACCACGAGTCTTCTCGTGCAGAGGGCAGTTGATGGTAACGACATCACACTGAGCGAGCATCTCCTCGAGGTCGTCAACACGGCGGCAGCCGATCTCCTTCTCGACCTCAGGGGAGAGAGGCTGGTAGTCGTAGTAGAGCAGCTCCTTGCAGTCGAAAGGCTTGAGACGGCGCAGGACACGCTCACCGATGCGGCCGACAGCGACAGTTCCGACGACCTTGTTCTCCAAATCGTACTCGTTCTTGGCAACGGCAGCAACGTCCCATTCGCCGTTACGGATCTGCTCATGGGCAGGAACGAAGTTGCGGACTAGGGTGAGGATAGTCATGACAACGTGCTCCGCAACGGAGACAACATTGCAGCCAGTGACTTCGGCAACAGTGATACCGCCATTGGTCTTGTTGGCGGCGTTGAGGTCGACGTGGTCGGAGCCAACACCGGCAGTGACGGCGATCTTGAGGTTCTTGGCCTTGGCCAAACGCTCCGCGGTGAGGTAACCGGGGTGGAAGCTGAACCGACCGAGTTAGTGGCTAAAAGTGTTGCTGGGGGGGGGGCATAACGGGAAGTGTTATGTTAAGGGAAGCCACATACGGGGTGGTGATGATGACTTCGGCATCAACGAGCTCCTTGTCGAAAGTGGAGTTCTCACCCTCCTTGTCAGAGGTGGTGACCAAAGTGTGGCCCTGGTCCTCCAGCCACTTTCTCAAACCAAGCTCGTTCTCAGTGGTACCCAGAAGACCAGGCTGCTGCTTGGCGTGCTCACCGCCCTAATCATTGTTTGTTAGTTGATGTTTTGTCGTCATTGATGGATCAGGGCCGAGGCCGAAGCCGAAGACGGACTTACGTCATAGAGAACCATAAGAACCTTGCCCTGTAGATTGGCCGAGGCGGTTAGCGTACGTGCACCAGCAATGGAGTTGGCCAAAGGCGAGGTCCGAAAGGGACTGCTGCCCGCCGATGCGAGAGGGCCTCTGCTCGAAAGAAGAGAAGTCGCAGGCCGTCGAAGTTGACGGGAGACGGAGCGCATAAATACCATTTTGAAAGAGTAGAGTCAAATTGACTGATGATTTGATGGATGGATTGAGTGAGAGAGAAAGAACTGAAGGATCTTGTCGACCTACAAAGCGGAGGGTCAGCTTGCCATTATATATACCCAGTAGCGATTAAAGAAGTTGGAGAAGGCAAGGTAAGATTCTGGCCCGCAGCCAACACCAGCGTTACGGCCTGCCAGTGATCGGAAGCCTTTGCGAGCTGGATGCAATGCAACAAGGACGAGCGGGGAACGATGACAGACAGAAGTGGATACCAAACTGCCTGCAATATTACTGCACTGGCTGGCTGGGAAGAAAATCTCCAAAAAAAAATATAAATAAAAAATAAAAAAGCTGCAGACTGCACTGCAGGCAAGAATTGTCTCAAAAACGACGCTGAGGGGAAATCGACTTACCGAAAGCGGGATGGAAACTGATTAAGCGTGGACCTTGGTAGCAAGGAAGACAATGGGAAGATGACCCAAGAATGATGATAAGATGAGATGATAGGAGAGACACTGATGGTGAATGGAAGTCAGAACTTAAAGGGCGGGGAATTTGGCCAAATTTATAGGTCCATTTTCATACGTTCTCACCGAGTTGGCTTTCCCTCCCCCCTCTCTCTCTCTCGTGATTGTACTGTACTACTGTACTGATTGTACTTGATGGATACCTTACCTTAGGTACTACCCCATTATTGCTATTCTAGGTAGGGTACAGTACACTCAGGGCTATCCGTTCCTCCGTCTTCCGGCGAGAGGGAGCGGAGGAGAGGGGAGGAGAGGGGAGGGGAGGGGAGGAGAGGGGGTGTCGCAGGCAGGCAGTGTGGGTATGGGTACAGTACAGTAAGACTCGGAAAGAGGGGTGGATCAACTACCACCAGCCAACCTTGAAACCATGGCAGATGGCAGATCATCCCAGTTAGGGGTTCACCAAGCTTTCTCCGCACACGGGACTCCCTCCCGTCTTTGCGGTCGTTAGGTTGACAGTCAATGCTATGTAAATTAGTACTAAACTCAAGTACTCCGTAAAGTGAAATGGTCAGAGTAGTTAGACTATCCTGGAACTCAATCCTCGATTACAGGGAGCGATCCGATCTGTCGGTGCACGTTTGTATCACCCTATTATCTAAACAATCAATGTACACACACAGTACACTACACATACGATGTCACTATGCTCCAAGGGTACAAAGCTCATGCGGGGATCTGGAATGCAATGCAAATGTAACTACGGAGAAGTTACAGAGTACAGTAGACTACAGTAGCCGTGGTGAGCCGATGAGGGGGAATCCGAGCAAGGGCCGAGCCTGTGCCAGATAACTCGGAGCTAGATACGGCTCAGTACTGTACCTGGCAGGGCGATCAGCAGCATTGCCGCGGCGCTACTGCAGAGTTGAGTCGGGACTACGACTAGATTATGAATGGATCTTTTGTCTCGATTTAGACAATCAACGGACAGAATTACTGTTTTGTCTGGCTGTCACTTGGGTACCTAGCACGGAGAATGGACTGGAATCTTACCTACCTGGTAGTACCATCCGTTCATCCATGATTGTCCCGCATTTCACCCAGTTCGGATAGCTCCATCTTTTCCCCTCACGAGGGGAAGACTGCCTGTCATAGCATGGCGGCAGTGAGGGGTAATTTTGGTCTCCCCGCATGGCCTCCCAAATGCTGTCTCTCATAGCAGGCCAGGACCCCATGTGAAAATGCTGCGGGCGAAAAGTCGCTTCATTTCATTCTGTGTAGCTCAGTACAATATTGACACACAGAACAGACATGTATGTGTCTACTAGAGCTTGACTCTCCCCTTACATTGAGTTTCGTCGTGGGGTGGTCAGCGCAAGCGCAGTCCGATAACCGATAACTAACAAATTACTGACGACCCAAGCTTGAGCGTTCTTCTACCTTCCCCCCGACCGAAGCGATTTTTCCCCCAAATGCGATTCCTCCACTTCCTGGAAACCGAAATTCGACCGCATTACCTCCGGCACTGGTTCTCTGGGAGAGAATCTTCAAGTGACGTTGATGTCCTGGAAGAGAACCACATTGGAGTCTCCATAATTTGAGACAGACGTCACGCCCGACCCCGACCGCGGCGGCGGCGGCAGCATGAGGGGAAACCATCCGTCTGTTCCCCACCACCAGCGTGTCTGCGTGTCTGCCTCCTCATTGCCCACACCCATTGCCCTGCCGGTCTTGCCGCATCACACGATACGCCCGTCTGCTCGTTGACCCGAACTGTTGAAACACCCCCCTTCGGACTCACGAAGCGCTTGCGATGCCCTGTGGCCAATACACAGTACCGGGCGAAAGGGCCCTTGTTCAAGGTGTCGCAAGCTTCAAACTTGGGTGGAATTTCTACTGATTTCGAGACAACAATGTGCACGAACCACAATTTTTGTTTCGCTTCTTGAGATCGGAGTGGGTATATTCTATTCACCCCATTAGGATGTCTTCTATCTATAGTACAATTTTTCCGAATAATAAGCAGCGCATGCTTCGCGTGAAACACGGAACATGATTCGAAGCTTCTGGCGATATGATGTCGCTTCTAAAATACAACATTGACCACCTTGCCGCCTTTGACAACAATTACTCGTCGCCGCTTCTCCCAGTCGTTCTTCTCCCGCAGCCATGTTCGTCCTTCGTCGGTTTCTAGAATGCGACTGATAATCCAGTCTTGTTCATCTGTGGTGTTCGCGTTGGCTTCGGTGGTCGTGGGCGAAAGTCGCTGTGGGATGTTCACACTGAATCGCAATTTCCCGTTAACTTGAACCGCAACAGTCTGCCCTCCTCGTGCGGACAGTATGTTGGCCTCGGCGGGAGCCAAAAGGGGTGTGGGCCAGTTGCAGTCGAATATACTTGGGATAGCTGCCGTTTCCGAAGCGGCGTCGGCTGAGTTCCGCGTCACCACCGAGCCGTTTAGGATCTCCCAGCACTCGGAGGCAAGAGCCGGAGCAATTGGCGAGAGTAGACGAAGTAGGGACGAAACAGTCAGGTAGAGAACTTCGGGTGAGGTGGGGGTGGATGATACAAGAGCATTGGTCAGCTTGGTCAGGTCAGAAACGACGGTGTTCAGGCCATAGCGATTGGTCTCAATGCAGTTGGTGATGGAACATATGGTTCGATGTGTGGTAAGGAGAGCGTTAGCATCACCATCAGCCAGGCGTTGGAGGGCCCCGGGCAGCGCAAGCGCATGGCCGGAAGATGCCTTCAAGTCCGATATGCCCAACGCAATTGATGAAGAAGACAACGTTTTCTGGGTGTCAGTAACGAGCTTCCAGAGCCGGCCAAACCAGCGCTCCATACCAACAATCTTCGTCTCGTCCCATTCCAGCACCTCGCTGACCGGGGCGGAAAAGAGGACATGGGCGCGAATAGTATCTGCGCCATACTTCAAAGCACACCCAGTCGGGTCGACACCGTTGTGCTTACTTTTCGACATCTTTTCAAAGGATATCGCTGGCGTAACTTGCGTTCCTTTGATAAGTGGTTTATCTGGATTTGACAGGTCCAGCTCGGAAGGAAGGAGGAATTTGCCTGTAGATGGATCCGAGAATGTCTTGCCATGCACCATACCCTGTGAAAGGAGGGACTTGAAGGGTTCAAATGGACCCGACACATTTCCAGCGCGAGCTAACTCTGGAAATAATTCGGACTCTGAGAGAAATTTGTAGATGAACCGGGCGTAGAGAAGGTGCAAGATCGCGTGCTCAACGCCGCCAACGTAGATATCAACCGGTCGCGCCACAGAAGGCGAAAAGGGCGATTGTTTGTTTTTTGGGTCCAAGAATCGGAGATAGTACCACGAAGAGTCAACGAAGGTGTCCATGGTATCCGTGTCTCGCTTGGCTGAGTGGCCGCAGCTTGGGCATTGCGTGTTCACCCAGTCGTGCGATGATTCGAGAGGGTTGCCCTTCTTGCCCTTCAGCCAGTCGCCTTCGATCTTGGGTAGTTTGACGGGAAGCTGATCTGACGGGACGGGAACAGGACCGCAACTATCACAATGGATGATGGGAATCGGAGTACCCCAGTAACGCTGTCGGCTGATCAGCCAGTCTCTCAGTCTCCATTGTTCCACAAAGTCCCCGCGGCCAAGTTGCTTGAGATCGTTAACGATCTGCTTCTTGGCGTCACTGGAATGTAGATCCTGGTACTTCCAACACATGGAATTGAGATAACCTTCCTGCGTGAATGCCTTTGCGTCATTCGACGAAACGACACTGGTCTTTGATTCGTCTGGCTTGCCTTCCCGTCGAGGCCCGATGACAACAGGTATAGACTCCGGGTTTACGTTCTCCTTGAAAAACGCAAGATCTCGAGCATCGTGACCAGGGACTCCCATCACTGCGCCTTCACCATAGTCACTCAAAACGTAGGGCGCTGCAAAGATAGGTAGCTGCCGAGCAACGTGAGGACTTTCCTTATCAATAACATGTAAAGGATGGGAGGCAGTCAGGGTAGTCAATTTGTAGCCAGCTTTCGAATCTGCTGGAAGCGAAGCAGCAGTGTCGAGGAACTTCTGCAGCTCAAAGTCCTTCTTCGTGGACTCTAGGACGAGGGGATGATTCAGAGACAAGGCGAGGTACTCAACTCCGTAAAGAGTATCCGGTCGTGTTGTGAACACGCCGATGTCAGTATTTGCGACTTGCTTGCCATCAATGGCGACTGGGAATCGGATGTTCGCGCCCTGCGACTTTCCTAGCCAGTTTCTCTGCATTGAGAGCACACGTTCTGGCCATTCGCCAGACAAGGAGTCCAGGTCCTTGAGGAGCATTTCCTTGAAAGCTGTAATACGAAAAAACCACTGTTTAAGTTTCAGTTTTTCGACCTTCGCGCCGGAGCGCCACGAGCAACCGTTGGCATCAACCTAGTTCCGCGGTCAGTCCAACGGCCATGAGGGCTCCTAACATCTCAACACCCACCTGCTCATTCGCGAGTACCGTTTTGTCTACGGGATCATAGTTCACGACCGCTTCATCCTGATATGCGAGGCCCTTCTCGTATAGCATTAAAAATATCCGTTGCGTGTGTTCGTAGAATTCCGGTGAGCAAGTCGCGAATTCCTGCATGTTCGAGTAAACATCAGTGTTGTTCTCACGGTAGAGAGAAGAGCATCAGAAAGAGGTGGAAATTTTCCGGTAACCACTCACAGACTCCCAGTCGAAAGAGGTCGATATGCTCCGTAACTGTTCCTTCATCTTCGACATGTTGCTGTTGGTCCATTCCGCCGGGTCTATCCCCCGCTCAATCGCCGCATTCTCTGCTGGCAGCCCGAATGCATCCCACCCCATTGGATGTAGAACATCGTGTCCTCGCATGCGATAGAACCGAGCCAGCACATCTGAGATGGTATACACCCGCAGATGGCCCATGTGTAAGGTTCCCGACGGGTAAGGGAACATAGACAGAACGTAAGACTTGGGCTTCGCTTCTGTTCCCTGGGTATCTCCCGCAGTATTGCGTTCAGATTGACAATTGGCAGAGTCCGCTTGCCATTTTGCCTGCCATTTCTTGTCAAGCGCTAACAAATCGAGTTTTCTAGTGATAGATGCTGCCGTTGGCGTGGTGGTCGTCGCATGTCTCGAGAAACTGGAGGAAACGGGGATCGGGTGGGGTTTGGTGCAATTCCACGGTCTTTGTCTCAGAACCGACCGTATATGGCCTGAGCGAGAACGTAGAAGGGCTTGCATTATGTTCGTTTCATCATTCACTTGTTGCGGTCCTTACTGTGAGCTAGCGAACGTCGGCTGTTCTGGGAGACTCTTCGCATCAATCGTCATCGTATCCGTCGGTTTGGCCTAGCCCAGAAAGGCTTAGCTCACATAGCACCGCAATGCAGCTTGGCTATGCTAGTAATTAGTCATGAAGCTCGATTCATAACTAACCTAACTACGGAATACTTATTCAATTTACTGAACTACTTACGACAAAGCCTCAACCACTTCAGCATCTCGCCGTATCGACATGTTTTGCACCTCACGGGGGCTGTCTCAATATCTTAGACTATTGTCCTCTTTTTCTTCGGTCTAGTTTCAGCTTTGTTGCTTCTGTCGAGTGAAGACCGACTATTGAAGGACTATCGGTGCCGAGCAATATATTTTAATTATATTATGCAGAGCGCTGGCTGCAAAGCAATCAGGGACATAATCCGACTGGCGCTAAAGGGGAAATGTTCGTGCCTATGCACCATATGATTATGATCATCCTATACACTGGTACATATCATATTGTTTAAAGTGGACGATTGCAGGTATGCGTCACCAAGAATAACTAGGTATAGGCCTGCAATGTGTTAAGTATCGAAGTACTATCCGGAGGACTCCAGGCTAGGTAAAGGCATTCATTCAGGAGAAGGTCCACTGGTCCAGACTCCAGAGTCTCCCTTGGATCTTGCTTCAGCTCCCCTGTACTAATCCAGATCTGGCTTGGAGCAGATTCGATCTTTGAACCATGGATCGGGAGAGCATCAAACTTCGATAGAACAACGTGAAACACTCTAGAACTCGTTCGTTCATCGTTCTTCTAACTGCTATCCCGGGAAGTCGAAACGGGTCTGAAAGAAGGTCAACCTATGGAGTATATCAACCTGTACAGTCTCGCCCTCTCAAATATCCAGCCCAAGTGGGACCTTCGAAAAGAAAGAAGGAGGAATGACGAGAGAGTTTCAGTAGGAAAAAGGCTCGAATGACGATCACAGGTGCCATTTTAAGGATTAACGCAGTCAGAAATAGATTTCGATACTCGGAACATCCCCTGAGCTTGAGGTACACAGTATGAGTATGCTAGTACTGGAGTATGTACTGAGTACAAACGTACATACACCATACATCTTAGCCGGCGAGGCGATGACGAAGAAGGAAGCTTGCTTCATGGTGCCTGAGGATCATCCCGCAACCGGGACGGAACCACGCAGTTCTTTCTGTCTGGATCGAGATTCCATCTCGCGGCTAGTAAGTACGGAGTACTGTATGTAATATTAGTCTAGGTACTCATACATCTTCACCTCCACCTTCCCCCCTCAAGACCTCAAGACACACCCCGGGCCTCTCCTTCCAACTTCCTCTTTCCTCCTTCTCCATTCATGAATCTCTCCCCTATTTTAACTGCCTCCTTCACATTTGGTATTTCCGATCGACATCTGCGAAAGATGGAGCCCAAGATCTGCCATCCGTGGATTCAGGGTTCTGTGTGCCGTCTGGTCGTCGTCTTCGTCCTCTATGAACAACCCCACTGTCATCCTCGGGCGCCGCGGTAATATGAGTAATAAGCAAACTTTGGTACCTCACCTTCACTAAGTTGGTTGACAGACTCCACTTGGGATGAGTTGGCAAGTTTAGGGAGAAAAAGCCAGGAAGGATCCGTGGCTCCGACGACCGACAACGGTACTGTACGGAGTACGTTTTCTGCCAAGTGCCAATTGCCCCTGACGATTATCATTGGGCCAGCTGCGAGCAAAAAAGACCATGATATTTTTCTCCACTGCCAATGAAACCTTCTGGAATCGTTGGCCTCCCTTTTTATTCTTGCCCACACGACAACTTGCTATTATTCCTGCGGTGGAGCTGGACCACCGCAGGTGGACTCAGGTCCTCGAGGTCTTCCACGCTAGCACGAATACTACCTCCACGATTTGGACTCGTCACATTATAATCGATGCCCTCGTGGAGACTGATGAGAGGTTAAGCCGCCCCCTCCTCTCCCCGCCTGTGATCGAGTCGTACGGCGTACAACAAGGTAGGCTAGGGCCTAGAGTACTTTCGGCGTGCAGAACAGAATATGCACTTCTTATAATATGTACATACGATCAAGCGGACCTTGCATTGCCAGTGAATCATGGCCAACCGACTGGCTTGCGTCTACCGTGCCCACAGTTGACTTTTAAATGGTGCTGCTTCTCACTCCACTTCGCAATCTTCGAACTAATGGTCTGAGTCCATTCAACTTTGGGTCGGGGGGAGGGTGGAAGGCGGATATTCTTAGATCAACGCGAAGCGAAATGACCTCAGCCAGGCTTCAATCTCGTTCGCAGCAGAGCACAAATCCGTACTTGTCTTTGAGTTCCGGAGACATGTCGATCTGCGACATTTGTCTTGGATCCGAACGGCGAAAGAATAATGTTTGGAGCCGGGAGGGAGACTATCAAGATTCGAGAGAAACCGTACTGTCCATCGGGCCAGACCCTCTCACACCCTTTCTCCCTGGCGGCCATCCCGCGCCATCCCGCTAGCTGTCCGTCCCCCTCGCAAGTTTCGAGGCGACCATGGGCGGAGCAGGTAGGCCACCGTCTGCCCAAAGGGAAGTCGGAAAAAGCGACGAGCTGCAGGCTGCAGGACCATCCCTTTTGACCACCAATCGTGCGGTTTCAAATGGCGCTCTAGAGCGTGCAGTCTGCATGACCCCCCTGGATCGAGTAGTATCCCTGTTCCGGAAGCCAAAGAGAAGAGGGGTGCAAAGACAAGTCTCTTCATCTCTCTTCATCTCTCTTCATCTATTGATCTCATCCATGGTTCACCGCCGCTGGGAACCCGGACTCCGGGGCGTTTAAATATTACGGCTTAGTCCGGCCTGGTCGTTTCAGATTGTGGTCCCCTTTCCTCCAGTCCTCCTTCCTTTCGCCGCTCTTTTCGAATCGTTCTTTGATTATTTTCCTGGTCTCGGGTTAGACACTCTTTTACTATTCCAGTCATTATTCTCTCGTTAATATCGCTCCCCGCCCTTATTAAGCTGGCTCCATTGGGGGTCTTGACTCGCTCTCGCTAATCCAACTCCGGGCATTTTTTCGGTCGGATCCACTCTCCCTTGGCTGTAGTGCCCCGGTGGACAGCTTAGTTACGCTCCCTTAAACCATCGCGTCGTCGTTTCTGTGTCGAGACATTCTTCATTGCATCATAAAATTCTATAGACCACAACAAACATTAACGGGGCCATCGCCGGCAACTGCGGGTTGTCAATCGCTCCATCGAGCGGTCCGTTGTGTGGTCGCTTGGTGCCCCGAACCGAGCTGATGATCGAAGATCATCTTGAATCTCCATTCTTCGCCGTCTCCAGTCCCAGACCCCCCAGTCGGGCGTGAGCGTTTTGTCTTTTCTGTTCTTTAATCTACGTTTCTTGCTTCTTGTGAACTCCGTGTCGTCGATTATACCGCCAGCCTTACCGGGTCGCCGCCCGCAGGTTTAATCGACAGCCCGACCTTAATAACTGGTGTATAGTGATAATAATGAACTAATCTGCACAACATGCGCTCGACCGGACCTTCAACGAGTCTCCCAGCACGGAGAGCTCTCCACGAGCGCAATCCGTCCCAGACGAACGAGTCCTCCCCACCAGCGTCCCTCCGAGCCTCGAGTAATAAACACGCCGGTCAGGAAGAACACGATGTGTACTCAGCTACGCCGTATCCGACCAAGCCCGAGCAGATTCTCCTCCCGCGGCCCGGAAAAGGACATGAATTTATCCCGGATTCCCGATTCCATCTCGACGAAGCACCGGATCATTATGCTGGGAATACCTCGACGGAGTTAAGCCACATCGCCGACAGCAGCTTTTTCCAGCGGTCCGCCAGTGATCCTTGGGATTTATCCTCGACGTTCGATGCCGCAAACACCCCGTCGCAAGTATGGGAAGACGATCCGTTGTCGAGCAAGTCATCATTCCCCGATCTCTTGCCTCCAGAAGACAAACCCAGCGGCCCCAAGTCCGATTCCGCTTCTATTGCCGCTTATTCAGATGAGGAACCGAATACATTACCCCTGGTCCCTCCAACAATCAAGCCCGTGATGTCACGAACCTCATCGCGTCACCCATCTGGTCCGGAAATCCTTGGCTCAGGCCATTCTAGCCCGAACGTGGTTCCTATCGGACCTCCATCTAGTCCGAACTTCGTGGCCCTCGACAACTCGAGTTTGAACTTTGTGCGCCTTGGTGCCTCTTCAAATCCAGGCTCGGTTACTCGATCTAACTCCTTATCGTCTTTAAATTCCTTGGGAACGGTCATCAGGTATATCGGAGCGGCTCAATGGACTCACGGTTCATCCTCCGAACAATCGAGCTCGCTTTCGCGTTCACGCTCACAGTCATTCCGGTCTAATCCCTCCAATCAGGTGCACCCAGTCCAATCGAACTCAACGCTTCCACGCGGGCGGAGCCATTCTCGCTCTCTCACATCCTCATCGCGGAGCGGGCCGAATTCCGATATCCAGGCGATCGTCGACAGCGGGGTTTTCTTGCAATATCCGACAATACGCGCTCCTTCATCGTCAAGCTCAAGGGTCGATGTATCTACTTCCGAGGTTGTCGCGGAGCCCATCCCCCCGGAACCTACCACTGATTTCTCTTCGGATCGCTTCAAAACTCATTTGTCGACAGTCACATCTCGATGGTCGGCAGAGTGCGATTCGAACTATGCTGAAGGATCTAGCAACAACTCTCTGGCAGAGCCTAGACGGCCTTCTCCAGCCCTGGTCCGCCCAAAGCCAACGTCTTCATCTGTGTGGCTTGTGAATGAAGTGGAGGACTCGGACGGCGACGAACAGCAGGACGATGTGGCAAACTTGCCCGCGCGCCCCTCGAACCCAGCAGTGCCCAGCAGCCTTTCGTCCGGATCTAGATCCCGACGAAGCAGTATGCGAAGCACCAAGCGGCCGGGAACAAGTTCGACCATCCATAACATTTTGCCCAACTGGGCTAGGATGTACTATGGGCGCTCCGAAGCGCAACCTGCCCAATCAGGTTTACCCACGGTAGAGGGAAGTCGCCCACCATCCTTACGGCCAGCTACGGCGAGTACAAATGGCGCTCTTTACCGCATGCCCACAGCTCACAGCCATACTCGAACAATGACTAGTGACCTCCGAAGCGTACGGTGGGAGGCACCACCGAGCGATCCACGCGACCCTCGAAGCCATTGGGTAAAAGATCCAGAACTCGAAAGAAGGGACACCCGCAATCGGCTACGCAGCAGCTGGTCGCCACACCTGTTGCCTGATCGACGTGCGACGGGCCCACGGAAGGGCACGCGGGGAGCTCCATCCCTCGACTCCAGGATGGAACCTCTATTCGGTCGGCGAAATATCCAAGTCTGGTCATTTTGTGTTGGGTTCATCTTCCCTCTTGGTAAGTATCAGCCTGGTACCTACGCAGTCTAACTGCAACATGTGCTTACTCTGCGCTCGTTAGCCTGGCTGGTCGCCTCATTCCTCCCTTTGCCGAAACAATCGGAAATGGTCATGCAGGATGACCCCGAGTCCCAGCTCGAAACAAGCCTACGTATGCGACTTTTCGACCTTCAGAGAAGACGCTACGAAAATGCCCGATGGTGGAGAAAGCTCAACCGGTGGATGAACCCTTTGGGATTAGTAATCGTCACAATTGTGGTAAGTACTGCATGAGCCATGCTCCTGCTTCCTCGACTAACAATATGGCAGATCACTTTAGCAGTTGTCGGTACAACAGTGGGCTTCTAGGGTTGATCAAAAACCTGAGCCCCCTGTTCTATGTTCTTTGCAAGTCCATCGCGCTTGCAGCTTCTGCCTGATCAGGGCGCCGAGGTACATCGGCTGCCTTGGCGCTCCCTGCGCAGGCCATGCCTGCGCCTGCATTGCATTGTGTATGCTCGAATTGACTTTCGCATCGCAATGCTTGGAGTCGACTATTTTTACCTGTTTATACCCCTTCATACGCCTTGATTCCACCTGAGCGCCGCCTGCTCGATGCGCCTGCAATTATACTCGCATTCGGCTTCCTCTGCCCCACGGCTGCTTGGTATATCATATTTACATATCACTCTCGACACGACTGGCATGACGTGATGTTTATAATGTTTTTTCTATCATATTTTCTGGAGATCAGTCTCATATTTCCTCGACAAATAGGTGTTGGTCCTCTATCTTATGTCTATCCGCACTATACCGAAACCGTCTATCTGGTCAAGTTCATTGGGGTTATTCGATTATCTGCAAAGTGCATGCATAGCGTTGGAAGTATCTGGGGTTTCACGACGCACGATGGATATATGTTACTGTTCTTTCTTTCATTTGTCTATTTTCATGTCGCCCTTCTCGATGCCCGGGTGCTGGTGAGAATGATTTCTCTGCGGTTCGAGTTGGGATTCACGAACTATATAGCAAAATCAACACATAGGTAAATATATATATGAGACGATGGTTAAATTAGACAACGGTGCTTAGGTAGATCATCTAGATGGTAGGCGAGATTTCTTCCAACGGATACGGAGAATGGTTGCTCAGCCAGTAATGGACCCGGTCTCATTGAGTGACGATAAACAACAGATCACGGACATTAAGCCATAGTTCAGGAAAGACAACCAACTGGATTCCAAAACGTCACAAATCAAGCAGCGTCGCTCAATATTGATACAAACAAAGGACCCGAGATAAACATGCGCAAACACGCGAGCGCCGGGAGCCAAAACACAAAATCTAAAGTTACAGAGTAAGTTCTAAAAGAGCGGCGATAGACCTTGTCTACCACGCAACCGGCGCTGAATCAGCCGAGGTGGCCAGCCTCCCCCATCCCCCCGCCCATCCAGCGCGCGCATAAGTCACCGGTCTTTAAACGGCCAAATGATGGAAAAACCATCTGACCGTATCGAGTTCGCACTGGTGACACTAATAAGGAGAACATAAAGAAAGAGAAGGCGCCGATCATGTGAAGGGAGACATTCAACAATAAATGAATGACCCGTCCATACAATGCATTACCACCTCTCAAATGTAGAGGAATCCTGAGAATCAGGGAAGCTTACGCCCGATCTTGTTCTCGACCGCGACTTTCAGCTCTTCGCCCGTGGGCATAGTAGCGACACTGCCGCGCCTGCGACGGGACTCGATCTCAGCTATGATCTCCTGGACAGCGCCATCGAATTCCTGCATGGCGTCGCTGGGGAGACCGAGTGTGGGCGGTTGTTGCAGCGACTCGGTGCTGGCCGTGCGAGGGGCGTGTGGCGGGTGACTGGTGCCGCGGGCTTTAAGGTTCTTGACGAGGATAGCCTTGGCGGGGCTGGCGAAAAAGACGATCGTGAGAACATTGCTGACGATGCCGTAGAAGTAGACGCTGCGCCAGACGGCGACAGAGGTGCCGAAGGAGAGGAAGATGAAAGGCATCACCGTGAAGGACATGGTAATTTGAGTGAGGAGCCAGCTCACGATATCATAATAGCGCTTGTAGGGGCCAGGCTTGCTGCCATCAGGAGTGAGGAAGAAGGGCCGGACATGACGGCGGAAGTCTGAGGTTCGATCAGTATAAAGGGTCCGCAGTGGGTGGAGAATCTGGGCTCTTACTTTTGGCGGCGGTCTGGATGATGGAGCCGAGAACGAAGGTCATATAGTAACCAGGGTAGAAGCCGTGCCAGAATGCACTGGTGGTGAAGGTGGCCATGCTGGCACGGAATCCAGGCTTCTTGCCCTTTGGAGTGACACGCAGGTAGACGTAGTTCCGCAACCAGTGGTTAGTGTTCTTGTTCCAGCTGCCCAGGTAGCCGTGGGAGTTCTGAGCTGTCTCGAGACTCCATGGATCCACATTCTCGAGCCGGTTCCAGAAGACTGTGCCCGACTTGGGGTCGAAACCGTTGTATCCCATGCCAGAGAGGATACAGGCACCCTCTGTCAGCGACCAGACACCATAGTACTTGCATCGGGCGGCAAAGCCGACCATGTGCATGATGAAGACCCGTCTGAGGAAGGAGTAGTTCATGTAGCCCTCTCCGAGTAAAGTGTCTCGGCTGTACAGGGAGCCTAGTTGCAGGAAAACCAGAATCCAGACTAATCCAACTAAAGCTTTCTTCGTAGCAGGCGTGCCGCTTCTGGGGATCTTTCGCTTCTTCCGGGTCGGGGGCACCTTCGAGGGATCGGTTCCAGGAGGTACATCGAACAGAGTCGTGTCAATCCAGCGGCGGTAGTCGACATAGTCGAAAGCCGGGCCAGCGAAGAGAGATGGGAAGAAGAGCACATAGCCCACATAATCCAGAAGACTAGGGAACTGAGTGATCGCGGCGTACTTCTGGGCATCCGAGAGCTGGCTTTGCGGCAACCGACCATCATGAACGTTCCAGCAAAACGCGGAAAGCTTCATGACCAGGACCATCTGAGCGCCTGTAATATCCACCACCTGCGCATCGTCGACGATTTGGCGATAAATATGATTGATGGACATGTGGCCCATCAGGAAGACGAAACCAATCCATGGCATCAAGGATCCATCGATGTAGTAGGCGATCAGGTAAATACCAGCGGAGCTATAGGCCAAAGTGCGAAGACCATCCCACAAATCGAAGAGGCCAACAATGTAGAACAGCGATACGGCGATGATGAAAACGTTCTTCTTCCAGGGCTGAGCATCGGGGATTCGCTTCAACAGGCCGGCCAAAGGATATGAGAGGAGGAATGACGCAATGAGCTTGACTGTGCCGAGGGAACCAAACAAGCGCGGAAATCAGCACTGCGCGCAAGTCCAACAAATGGGGAGTATGGAGTATAAACAAACGCTCATCAATGGAAGCTCCTGTTGCCCTTGCGGGATAGTCGAACACTGGTACCAACAGGGGGGGGTCAGTCTACCTCTCTTTGGAGGCCATGGGGGAAAGTGGCGGCGAGCGACATACGGAGATCTATAAAGGGCAACATGATGTTGCAGGAGCAATGGAGGGAATAAATGTAGGATAGTAGTGATCAATACTAATTAGTAGAAAGGAAACGAGATGTGTATGAGTGCGGTGAATAAAGACATTTGAGAAGGAGGAGAAAAAAAAAAGAAGAAGGGGAAAAGAAAAAAGAAAAAAAGCCACCCAAAAGTGTTGAGATGCGAAAAACAAAAAAAGGCGAGCTGGTACTCCGTACTGTACAGTACTTACTCTCCATCACATGGGCATCGTCATCTGTTTCTTCCCGCTGCTTGGCATCTTCTCGGGCTTCTCCTTCTTCTTCCCTTTCTTCTCTACATCTCCACTTCGTGTCAACAACCCGTCCCATTTCCACCCCAAACGTCTTTCTTGTCGCTCACGCGCGCCCCCTGTTCACATCATCCTTGATGTCGCCAATTCCTTCTGGTTCTGATTCCTGAGTTTCATCTTAACTTCGCTTGCTGCACTCCTCCCTCCCTCCTCCTCCTCCTCCTTTCCCCACTTTCCCCAACACTCCCCGGTCGCCCAACATGGACGTTGTTGCCGCGGTTTCGGGATACATCTCCAAGATGGTCACCGCAGGCGACTCTTCGTCTTCGGCTTCGGCTTCGGGCTCTTCATCCTCGGCCAAGATGAAGATCTTGCTCCTTGACAGTGAGACAGTGGGACTTGCGCAGATCGTGTCGAATAGACGCCGTATGTGCTAACGGCTCTGGAATAGGTCCCCATTGTCTCCACCGCCATTACTCAGTCCGCCCTGTTGAATCATGAAGTCTATCTGATTGATCGGATTGATAATGCTTCTCGGGAACGAATGCGACATTTACGGTGCCTGTGTTTCATACGACCATCCCCCACCTCTATCCAATTCCTGATCGACGAGCTTCGCGAACCGAGGTACGGGGAATACTATATCCACCTCAGCAATATTATCCGCAAATCCTCACTCGAGAGGCTTGCCGAAGCCGACTCCCATGAAGTCGTTCGCCTGGTCCAGGAGCACTTCGCAGATTTCCTCGTGATCAACCCGGATTTGTGCTCCTTGAACCTTGGATTCCCTCAGCAGCGGTTATGGAGCCAGTCGCCAGATTTGTGGAACCCCGATGCCCTACAGAGAGCCACGGAAGGCGTCATTGCCATCCTATTGTCCTTGAAAAAGAACCCGTTGATTCGCTACGAGAAGAACAGCCTGTTGGCCAAGAAACTGGCCACCGAGGTCCGCTACCAGTTGACCCAAGAGGAACAGCTATTCAATTTTCGCAAGACGGATACGCCGCCGATACTATTGATCTTGGACCGTCGAGATGATCCCATCACGCCGCTACTCACACAATGGACTTACCAGGCCATGGTGCATGAATTGATGGGCATCCACAATGGTCGAGTGGATCTGAGAGACGTGCCCGAAATCCGACCGGAGCTGCGGGAAATCGTTCTTTCTCAAGACCAGGATCCCTTCTTCAAGAAGAATATGTATCAGAACTTTGGCGATCTGGGCCAGAACATCAAAGAATACGTGGAGCAATATCAGGCGAAGACGCACAGCACAATGAACATCGAATCGATTGCAGACATGAAACGCTTTGTTGAAGACTATCCCGAATTTCGCAAGCTTTCCGGGAATGTTAGCAAGCATGTTACCCTGGTTGGCGAGCTGAGCAGACGCGTGGGTGAAGAGGATCTTCTGGACGTGAGTGAGCTGGAACAGAGTTTGGCTTGTAATGACAACCACGCGAATGACCTCAAGGTATGCATCAATATGGTTACATCTGAACTAACCTAGCACCCAAGGATACCCGATTGACCACATATTTACAGAATCTCCAAAGAGTAATACAATTACCAAAGGTGTCAGCTGAGAGCAAGTTACGGCTAGTGGCATTGTATGCCATCCGGTATGAGAAACAGCCCAACAATGCTCTTCCAATTCTCCTGGACCTGCTGGTCACTGCGGGCGATGTTCCTTCGTACAAAGTCAACATAATCCCCAAATTACTCG